ATGGCTAGATTTACTAGCAACCAAAGCTGGTCATTCTGGCGATATGAAAGATGAGATTGAAAGAAAAAAGGCAGACTTTAGACGTATAAATAAGAATTCTTAGTCATTTGTTATTATTTTTTATATTTTCGTTCGTTATATTTTCATAGCATTTGAATCTTTTCCCTCATAATGGGTACGTCGAAAATTCGTTTTATTATGAAATACGAGTACAGGCTCACAAACGAAAGAATATTGGACCGCATTTTTACCTGCGACGAAAAATGGATACAGTTTGACAATTGCATGCGCTCAGCAAATTGGTTGGATCCTGGTTCAGCACCTAAACAATGCTCTAAACGAAAATTTATCCCTAGAAATGTGATGGTCACTGTTTGGTTGTCTAACGCCGGTGTGGTTCATCACAGCTTCTTACCAATCGGAATGAGCATTACAGCAGATGTGTACTGTGAAGAACTGAACACAATGATGGAGAAGCTAGCACGTCTCGAAACATCTTTGTTTAATCGCTCACCCCCGCTGCTCCTACGCGACAACGAGCTATCTCATACTGCACAACAGACAGTTTTCATGTTACAAGAGATGGGGTTGGAAGCTCTCCGTCGTCCGCTGTACTCACCAGACCTTGTGTTTACAGAATTCTACATTTTACAGAATATGGATAAACTTTTGATGGGAAAAAATTCAATACGCAAGATGCGGTACAAAATGCCTTTAAAGAATTTGTTGCCTCCCGTCCAGCTTATTTCTGCAAGAAGGGCATCAATAACCTGCCACTACGTTGGCAAAGACGCATCAAATGCATGAGTGATTATTTTGATTAATAGAAATAAAATATACAAAAAAAAAAAACACGTCAACTAATTTAATAAAAACCGGCTATTTCATAGGTACAGATCTAATAATAGATATTAATTAGCTTATACCAAAAAACATACTCCTTAAGTAAATTCCTAATTATTTTTTGTTATCTTAAATAGTTTCTATAAAACTATTATTAAGTCGGTACATATCTTTATAAGTACATAACAAACTCATTGGTGAAGTCGTATAAATTAGGGCTAGAGAGTTTTCTGAATTCATTATTTCATATTTTTGTCAATTTACCACCTTTTTCATTGCGAAGCAGGAGATATGAAGATGTAAGATAGAGACTCAGCAGCTCAAGCTTTGGATGTCGCCGTGATGAATTTAAACAACGGGGCGAGCCAATTGACCTCCAACAATTGGAAGAATTAGCTCGAAAATCTGTTAAATTAATGGAAAAACATGGAACGAAAATCACACAAAATTACTTTACAGCAATGGATCTACTTAGGCAACAGTATAACCTTGTAAGCATTTTTGCAGTATTTCATAGACTTATTAAAGCGACAGCGGCCTAATCGGTAAAAGAACCGATCGCGAACTTACACGTCGTGGACCCGTGAGTTATAATCCGCCATTAGAATTCTGTCGCGAATCACTTTACAATAAAACAAGTTTTTTAAGCTGGCTGCATGACGTTTATCTGGAGTTAATGGCAATATTATCAATTTAAATATATTTCTTTATTCATATCATTCATCGATCCTTTTAATAAAGCCTATAAATGTCTAACGCTGAACCCAGGGCTGCACGTTTGGCAGGCGGGTTGGCAACCGCAGATTTTTATTATTTTGAGCTATCATAAAGATATTGCTGCCCTTCTCCTGTTACAATTTAGTTTGTTACAGTTTCGACACACATGGGAAATAAGGGGTAGTGTATATTATTGTTACACTGCCATTAGATGGTTCCTTATTATTTACTTGTAAATTTTTATTTTAATATTATTATTTAATTGCTATTATTATTTATTTTGAATTGTACTTTTCTTTGTAAAAGCATACATTTTATTATCTAATTTAATAATTTCTTTGCAGAATTTCATAGTTGTTTGCGAGAAGTGCAACGGTGCTCGTTCTTATGACGAGTTGTCAGCTGTAGAGCGGTAACCATTTCACACCCTGTTCATGTTGTATAAATTGCAGATTACTTTTGTACAGGTTGCGCAACAGTTGCTTGTTACTGATTATTGTTTAAGTTAAATATTAGACACAAAATAAAGATCTTAATGATAATCAGCTAATTTTTATTAAATGTCGAAGTTATATGTATGAGTTTTAGGGGAAATATTTTACTTTTTCTCTAAGCGCAGTTCAACGATGGCAGAAAATCCATTTGAAACAAACAAACAAAACAACTTTTTTCTTTTTTTTTCTTTCTTTAGAAAAACGTTACCCCCACACTAGGATTTTCTCCTGTATAGTGGAGGCAGTTTACAAACATAAATTGCACGAGGACAAATATCCAGACCCGGTACAGTTATTTGTAGGCTATACAAATACTTGTTCCGTACGGGATTCGAACCCGCGGCTCCCAGCGCAACAACTCATTGCTAAGGCACTGCGCTACGGAGCCGTCTACTACGCAAAAACTAAAATTTTAACGTTTATTCATCGGTCAGAGGAATCTCAATTTAATACAATAGTAGACTAAAAAATCGTTTGAAAAACGAAATCCTACATCGAAACAACTTTGTAAGTTTAAGTTTGTGGTAGCCACGTAATTGTCGTAAGCCCTGTTTTTAAGGAAAAGTTAAATATTAAAAATATGTATAAATAAGGTTATTACACGTCCACACAGCTCTTCTGTAAGTAAGTGGGTGATGGGACACAACATATACACTGACGTCTATCTTGATTATGAATTGTAATCTAGATGCGTTGTCTTTCTTGTGGCTAATATGCATACCTCAATACGAGTAAAATAGGATCCGGTTACGTTCTATGTGAACATGGAACATGACCATGTAGTACATGTGTAAGATTACACCACCTCTCGTCCAGAGGGAAGCAAACCAAGAGATGTTCAGCAGCGTCACCCGAATAACAACTAGAAAATGAAAATCTGCGGTTGTCAACTCGCCTGCCAAGCATGGCGACTATGACAAACATCGCCTTCAAGAGCCAATCTATGGGTAGGCTTCTGTTCAGCAGTGGACTTTAGTAGGCTGTTGTAGTATAGCCCCCACGACAATATACATTAGTGTTGTGGTAGAATAAGGGTGGAAGGTGCTGAATGAAAGAGGCGTGTTGATGCTTCTATAACTTTAATTAGACTGATCCTTATTCTACCATTACACTAATGTATATTGTCGTGGGGGCTATACTATACTGTAATGATGATGATGTTGGGGTCATCCCCGGTCGAGCCGAAGCATTCAGGCTGTGGCCATAATGCAACTGTGATGAAAATAAACTACGTCATACTACTTCTGTTTATGTTTTTGCGAAAAGTACAAGTTGGGAGAATTCCTGAGCGTAAACAAACGGTATTATAGTCATTAATTATCACTACCATTCGTGACATTAATTAAGTCGTTAAATTGTGCTATGTAACTATCTGTATTTGTAAATTAATAATGACTCATGTTGTATGTTCTATATCGCGTATGAACTAATATTTTCAGTCTTAAATGTATAAATTCTGTTTAAACTACTTTTTACATTTGTTTATTCGTTCTACTTTGTAAACACGTAAGTTTGCATGAGCGAAGATTTAAAATGTGCATGCGATTGTACTAGGGCTTAGGTACCGATAGAAAAATTAAGGTTCACTAGTATTCTAATAACAAATCGTATTACATTTAAATGAAACCAATTTTTACGGATTTTATCGCATATATTAACTTATTTTATATTCCCGTCGATTCGAGCATTTTAAAGCACCCATGATCACAGGGGGGACTGAGGTGTATGATGTACCAATGTCGTAGTTAACCACGGCTACCTCCAGATTAAAAATTATTAATTTTTGTTCCGATCTACGCAGTATGAACTTACAGTATCTTGAATATCAGTATCTTCATTTGCATATTGTCAATCATCAGCAAACAATAAAAAAACTGGCCATTATTTGTGAACATGGAAGCCTGTAATACCGCCCGTCCATTGCAGGAGACATGCCTAATCGGATTTCTTAGAAGGTAATGAACAGGAAAAGATAAAGATCAGAGACTTTTGATTCTTAAATGATAATTTATTAGTCAGACTATATACATAACTAATAAATTATGATGGTGATCTCCAAAATTCAGAATAAAAATTGTAGTTCAAGTGGTGGCACCATGAGGAATCAAAATGAGTGTTTGTGTTTTGAAGATTTAAGTGGAATTATTTGTAGCTCGTTAAGTTATCATGACAAGGCTTTAAAAATATTTTAAGTTACATACAATATTCATGTTTGATCTTTTCAAAACAGTTGGTATTAAAAGGAACATGAGTTAGAATAATATTATTGTCGTGGGACAGTGCCAGGACTCAGTGGGATGGACTCGGCGTAGCATGGGATCCTGTCGCTCGGGTCCGTAACCCCTAACAGCCTCCACCCTTCCCTTTATTTTCGAAGTAGGCTTAAAAAAGTAAAATTAACAAAAGTCTGAGCATGTACATATTATTTAAAAATGAATAAAATAATAAAATGTAGTTTCTTATACTTACACGTACCCTTGGCAAGAGAGTGTGTGCGTATTGTATCTATTTTCAAAACTTGCAATGCCAGGTGCAAACACTATTGATCATAACTAAAATTATTATACTAAGATAAGTTTCAACAAGATTTAAAATTTAAAAAAGCAAAATAATATTTTAACCAATCATCTCCGGTCGTCCATTATATGAGACATTGTAACTTAAAATAAAATAAGAACTGATTTGGCACCATGTATGCATGTGCATGCATGATGCCAAATCATGAATGTCTTAAGATTAGATATTAATTAGCTTATAGCAAATAACATACATATTAATTAATTTCCTAATTACTTGTTGTTAAAATTAAATGGTTTCTATAAAACATTTAATGAATCGGTACATATCTTTATAGGTACATAACAAAGTCATTAGTGAAGTCGTATAAATTAGGACTAGAGAGTTTTCTGAATTCATTATTTCATAGTTATTTGTCAAAACTGCATTATGGTCAATTTACCACATTTTTCATTGCGAAGCAGGAGATATGAAGATATAAGACAGAGACTCAGGAGTTCACGTAGTCATCATACTTGGGGGATAAGCTTTGGACGTCGCCGTGATGAATTAAAACAACGGGGCGAGCCAACTGACCTCCAACAATTGGAAGAATTAGCTCGAAAATCTGTTAAATTAATGGAAAAACATGGAACAAAAACTACACAAAATTACGTAAAAGTATTGGATCTACTCAGGCAACAGTATAATCTTGTAAGTAATTTTTCGTAGTATTTAATAGACTTATTAAAGTGACAGCAGACTAATAGGTGAGGGAACGGATCGCGAACTTAAACGTCGTGAATCCGTGAGTTATGACCCGCCATTAGAATTCTGTCGCGAATCACTTCACAACAAAACAATTTTTTATGCTGGATGGATTAATGTTTATTTGGAGTTAATGGCAATATGAGCAATTTTAATAACATTGCGATATTTTTTTTTATTATTTCAACCATCCATTTATTTAATAAAGCCTATAAAAGTCTAATGCTGAGCCCAGGGCTCCCCCTGGCCACGCTTGGCAGGCGGGTTGGCAACCGCAGATTTTTATTACTTTGTGTTAACTAACAGGAAGATACTGCTGCCCTTCTCTAGGTACACTTTAGTTTGCTACACTTTCTGACACATATGGAGTCAATAAGGGGTAGTGAATATTATTGTCACTGCCACTGCTTGATACCTCATTATTTATTTCTATTTAATTATTATTAATTAGTTCCTATACATATTTATTTGAAATTGAACTTTTCTTTGTATTAGCATAAATTTTATTAACTAATTTAATAATTATTTCTTTGCAGAATTTCATAGTTGTTTGCGAGAATTGCAACGGTACCCATTCTTATGACGAGTTGTCAGCTCCAGAGCGGTAACCATTTCACACCCAGTTCATGTTGTATAAACTGCATATTACTTTTGTATAGATTGCGCAATGGTTGCATGCTATTGATTGTTGTTTAAGTTAAATATAAGACACAAAATAAAGATCTTATTGATAAACAGCTATCTTTTATTAAATGTCTAAGTTATTTGTAAGAGTTGTAGGGGAAATATTTTAGTTTTTCTCTAATAGCAGTTGAACGATGGCGGAAAAATTATCTTAAATCCAAATAACTTCCATCTTACTTAGGCGAAAACAGGGCGGGTCGCTAGTTGTAGAATATAATATATATATACAGGGTTACTAGGAACTCGACAACTTCCTGGCAGGGCGTGATACATTATCAAAATGTTACAAATTTGACCCGAACGTGAACGAAAATGGCTTTTGTCGGTCTTAAGATATTGTTGCGCGCCACTATTAATGTCTTGTACATGGCAACACTAGTTACACTAGCGCCCCCTAGTGTCGAGTAAATGAAAGTATTGCGTGCCACTATTAATGTCTTGTACATGGCAACACTAGGTACACTAGCGCCCTCTAGTGTCGACTAGCAGAACTAGGAGAGTCAAGATCCTTCCAGAAATTTCGGGACCGATATGTACTCGAACATTCTAGACGTCGCTACAGTAGAAGATTCTGGAAACTATCTGAGGCCCTATATAAGGCCGGTATAGACCACGACCGAGGCAGTATTGAATTGGCGATACAAGAGAATACTTCGAAGCGAAATAACGGCGAACTGTGTTTTATTATTAGTGTGATTTTAGATTATAATTAGTGTTGTGTAATTAAAGTGTCAATTTTGGTAATTCAATCGGCAGTTTTTAATTGTCTCGAACCTCAAGCTCGTAACAATTGGTGTCAGAAGTGGGATCAAATATGCCGATTTTACCTAAAGACGACACCGAGGGTATCCGTACCCGAAGTCAACGCCAACAGGAGACAGAACAGAAACGATTTGGTGGTGCAACGTCACAGACGTCGGCAGGCCAGTTGCCGACCACGGAGGCCGGCCCGTCAGCAGCTCCTGCATCTGAAGCACCTGACTTAGGTACTCTGATGATGATGCTGCAAGAACAAGCTCGCCGACAGGAGGAACAGGCCCGCCGACAGGAGGAACAGGCTTGTCGGTTGGAAGAGCAGCTGCAGCGCGGACAGGAGAAACAAGCCCGCCAACAGGAGGAACAGGGCCGTCGGTTGGAAGAGCAGCTCAAACGCGATAAGGAAGAGCAGATACTTCTCATGAAGGACCTTCACGCTACCTTCGGGAAAGAAATAAGTGAGGTGAAGGATAAGATTGCTCAATATGAAAACCGCCTGTCGGAAGCTGAAACCCGAATCGACCAAGTGTACAATCGGGTTGACAATGTGATGGCTGACGTGAAGAAAACGCTGAACGACCTCAAAATTGGGGATGGAGTTACAGCTCCCGTGGTAGCTACAGCACCTTCGCTACGTGGATTCAAAGTGCCACCGTTCGACGGGACTTCTTCCTGGTCGGCCTATAAAATCCAGTTCGAGGCTGTCATGAAAGCGAACGGCTGGAATAAAAGTCAGGCCATGACTGCTCTCACCCTAGGCCTGCGCGACCAGGCATTAACTGTTCTGGAAGCTCTCGGTAAGGAAGTGACTTACGAGCAGCTCCTTGAGGCATTGGAGGCGAGATATGGCGACGCTCACCTGGAACACGTCTTTCGTGCGCAGCTCAAAGATCGCGTGCAACGCAGTAACGAAAACCTGCAGCAGTGGGCCCTTGAGGTGGAGAAGCTGGTTCGAAAAGCGTACCAGTCTGTACCTGCGCTCATTGTAGGGAACCTGGTGCAGACATTCATCGATGGCATCCGCGATCTTGAAGTCAGAGCTGCTGTGAGGCTCGGGCACCACGAGACGCTTAAGAACGCCTTGACCCATGCACTGGAGGTGGAAGCCGTGCGGCAGGATCATCGTTCCTACCGTGTCAGCGAGGTTGCAGCAGCTACAGTTCAGGACCGCAATAAAAGCTACAGCCCTAGGTGCTACGGCTGTGGGGAAAGGGGCCATCTTCGATCCAGCTGCCCTAAGCGAACTGTAGAAAGGGAAGGTAATCGATCTCGAGAGGGTAGTACGGCTAATAGCACCGCCCAGCAGCAGCAGGGAAACTGGCGGGTGCGGGCTGATGTTAAAAGAGCCCTAAGGATTTCGATCTCACAAACCCGTGATGGAAACAGCCTGATCATCAAGGGCGAGGTCAACGGAAAGCCGTGTAAACTGACCATAGACACTGGAGCTTCTCGCACGGTTGTCAGTTCCCAACTTATAAATCAGTTTCTTGGGGACTCCGCATACAACCGCGAACGCATTAATTTGGTAACAGCCACCGGTCAGCGCATACCCGTCCGTGGAGAGAAGGAGATGGAGTTGAAGCTAGGCAACATGATCTACCTGCATAATGTCATCGTGGCTGATATAATGGACGACTGCATCCTGGGCCTAGACTTTATGAGGAAGAATTGTTGTGAGATCGACGTTAAGCAAGGTGTTTTGAAATGTGGATAAGAGGAACTTTTCATGGAAGGGGCGTTACCAGGGAATGTGTACAGCCTTAAGAAGATTGTTCTTCCGCCGAGATCGGAAACGATTGTGCCGGTTAGTCTTCCTCGGAGTCCTGGGCAAGCTCATCGTTGTGTACTCGTGGAAAGGGTAGACAATGACCTTCCATGGAAAGTGGCTCGAACCTTGGTCAGAACCACCGACATCTCAGGAGTACGTGTGTTGAACCTTTGTGATCAGGAACAGATTATAGAAAAAGGCACATTGGTTGGTACTAGTGAGGAAGTGGATTGGTTGCGTCGGTGCGAATATCTATCGACCAGGACCCCTAGCAAGGATGGACAAACGAGAGTGACCACACTTTTAGAAGACTGTCGCAGCGTTCTCTCCCCGAATGAAATGGTCAAGGCGAAGAAGTTGTTACTCAAGTACGCCAATGTTTTCTCGTCAAACGAAGCTGACATAGGAAAGACTGGCTTAGTTCAACACAAAATAAACACAGGACAAGAATTGCCTATTCGTCAGCGGCCAAGAAGATTGCCTGTAGCACGTGAAAAGGAAGTGGAAACCATGATTGAGGGTATGGTGAAGGATGGTGTTATTGAACCTTCATCTAGTCCATGGTGTTCACCTGTGGTGCTGGTAAAGAAGAAGGACGGCAGCATGCGGTTTTGTGTTGACTACCGCCGCCTGAACGACGTTACGAAGAAAGACAGCTATCCCTTGCCTAGAATTGATGACACGCTGGACATGCTCACAGGCGTAAAGTGGTTTAGTACGCTGGACCTGAAAAGTGGCTACTGGCAGGTTGAAATTGACCCTAAGGACAAGGAGAAAACTGCATTCTCCACAGGAAAGGGTCTGTGGCAATTTAAAGTCATGCCGTTTGGATTGTGCAATGCTCCAGCAACGTTTGAAAGATTGATGGAGCTTGTACTTACCGGGCTAATTGGAGATGCCTGTCTGGTCTATTTGGATGACATCATCATCGTAGGCCGTACGTTTGAGGAACACCTTCAAAACCTGGAACGCGTGCTCATGAAGATCCAGAGTGCCAACCTCAAGTTGAGTCCAAAGAAGTGCTCACTATTCAAACGGCAAGTTAGTTTTTTGGGGTATGTAGTGTCGGAAGAAGGTATCCGCACGGATCCAGAAAAAATTGCCGCTGTCAAGGAGTGGCCGGTTCCAAAAGACAAGACATAGGTTAGAGCATTTTTGGGTTTGTGCTCTTATTATCGGCGATTTGTGAAGAACTTTGCAGATATAGCCAAACCTCTGCACAAGCTAACCGAGGAGAAGCGACAATTCTGCTGGGATGAAAGTTGCGATATTGCATTCCAGGAGCTCAAGAACCGTCTGTGCAAAACACCTATTTTGGGGTACCCTGATGCGGGCAAGGAATTCATAGTTGACACAGACGCAAGTGATATAGGACTTGGCGGTGTGTTGTCTCAACGGAATGGTGATCAAGAGATTGTGATAGCGTACTTCAGCAAGTCATTGTCAAAGCCGGAAAGGAACTATTGTGTCACGAGACGGGAATTGCTTGCTGTGGTAAAGTCCTTGCAGCATTTTAGCAAATATCTTCTAGGGCGGAAATTCCACTTACGAACTGACCATGCTGCACTCAAATGGCTATTGCAGTTCAAAAATCCGGAAGGACAAGTTGCGAGATGGATTGAACTACTGCAGGAATACGACTTTGTGATCGAACATCGCAGCGGGAAATCTCATGGCAATGCAGATGCATTGTCAAGAAGACCTTGTCCTGAAGATTGCAAGCATTGTACTAGGCAAGAGGGTAAGGAAGTGGTATCTGTTAGAATGCTCAGGACAGACCAGCTCAGCAATGAGTGGAAGGACAGCCTACAACATGCACAGCAGGAAGATTCGGACATTAAGCCGATTCTGGAATGGATGAAGGCCAGTGCTCCTAAGCCCAAGTGGAGCGACGTCTCAGCAATGAGTTCGACCACGAAAAGCTATTGGGCCCAATGGGACAGCTTGCTGATTCAGGATGGAGTCCTGTGCCGTAAATGGGAAAATGGTCGGGGAGACAGATGTCATTTGCAAATGGTTGTCCCTAAGGCTAAAGTACCGGATGTTCTACAACTGTACCATAGTAGTTCTTCAGGAGGCCACCTGGGAGTTAAACGAACTCTCCTGAAGATCCGAGAACGGTTTTACTGGGTCCACTATCGTGACGATGTCGAGGACTGGTGCCGCAAATGTACAAGTTGTGCGGCTGTAAAGGGACCTCAAATTCGTAGTAGAGGCGCATTGAAATTGTACAATGTTGGTGCACCATGGGAGAGGATAGCCATTGACGTTGCGGGGCCGTTTCCGGAAAGTGAAAGTGGTAACAAGTATTTCATGGTTGTGATGGATTACTTCACTAAGTGGCCAGAAGTCTTCGCTATTCCAAATCAAGAAGCTTCAACAGTTGCAGATAAACTAGTT